CTGCTCCTGAGAATGAATTCATGGTGTGAGAACTCCATGAACTCATTACTTTTGATGAGGCCCCACCTAGGGTACCATCTTAACACCCTATGAAGACTAAGCTCCCAGTACTTGAACCTCTGAGACACGTACTCAAAACATATGCAAACCATGACAGGATCACAAAACCCATGACTATTGACAAGTGGCAAGTTTCCTTCTAGTCTTTTTCCTATGTACACACAGAAGGAATCCTTGAAAAGTTCATGAAAAGATTATGCCAGAATTTCAAACTATTTTTGAACTGAAATAAACCCGTTGTTTTTTTTTTCCATTGAGCTTTTATTTATATCTATGTGTTACATCCCTAGACAAGGAATCCCAGAATTTTTCTTCCTCTGTGTTTTCATCTTGCTTCTTCACGGTCCATTATGCCAGCTAAGGTTGTCAGGCAATGAAACCAAACTGGTGGGATGGGAGCAGATTAATCTGCCATTTTTCTAGATCTTTCAGCTGCACATCAAACCTGGGGCTGATCACTCCACACTTGTTTAACCTGCCCGTGAGGTTCACAACGATTTTCTCAGCTCTGTGAAATAATCAATGATTTCAAACTCACCAAAGTAGCTGTGCCTCACCATCACGGTGAGGAAGCAGACGATGACCTTGGAGCTTGGCCGGATCAGCACCTGGCGCTTGCCTCACTTCTCTGCATTGCTGATGCTCTTCAGAGCATTGGCCTATATGTTCATGTGCACCATCGTGGCGACCCGGAAAGATGGCAGAAAGAGGACGGGAGGGGCGAGAGCACGGAGTTATGCACAACCTGTTTTTTAATTTCACTTTCCAAACTTTTTGAAACAACTTGCATAAGCCGCACTACACCATATCAGCAGGCCCAGGCTCAGAGAGGCCATACACCTTGCCAAAGCCCACACCAAGCTGCCAGCAGACTGAGTCTGACACCCACAAGGCCTGAACCTATTCCACCCGCTCAGTCTTTCCCTAGAGAAGGTGACTGAGTGAGTGCACCTCTCCACCAAGCAAAAACTCCAGGAGTGCTCAGGGCACCAGCAACCCCCATGGGAGGAACAGAGGCGGAGCTCCATCAGCTCCCTGTTGCTCTAACAGATCAGGGGGCACCTGAAGGAAAGGCATCTACCTGGCTTAGGGTTATGGAGCCTGCAAGTTCACCATCAGATGGCTCCTCTGGCAAGGGCATTGTACAAGATCCCTGACAAGCTGGCAAAGCAAGCACATAGGGAAGAGGCAAAATTCGAGGGTTTTCCTGGCTCTCCGTCTGCCTTCCCAAAAAAGCATGAATCCTCCACAGTGACCTAATCACCCTTAAAGGCCCCCACATACCACCACCACCACAATGGCAATCAGACCCCAATGTGAGTTTCAGAAGGGGACACACAATGCTTTTTAGAAATATATTTAGGGCCCGGCGCAGTGGCCTTGCGCTAGTTTTCACCTTGAACACACCAGGACCCCATATGGGCGCCAGTTCTAATCCCAGCAGCTCCACTTCCCATCCAGCTCTCTGCTTGTGGCCTGGGAGAGCAGTCAAGGATAGCCCAAAGACGTGGGACCCTGCAGCCGTGTGGGAGACCCAGAAGAAGTTCCTGGCTCCTGGCTTTGGAACAGCACAGCACTGGCCCATTGTGGTCACTTAGGGAATGAATTGTCAGACAAAAGATCTTCCTCTCTGTTTCTCCTCCTCTCTGTATGTCTGATTTTGTAATGAAAATAAATCTTTAGAAAAAAAAAAAAGCCAAAGTCACATACAGAAAGATCTTGCATCTGCTGGTTCATTTCCAAAATGCCTCCTAGGGTTGGGCCAAGCCAAAGCCAGGAGCCAGGAACTGTGTCCGACTGACCCATATGAGTGGCAGGGAGCCAGGTACTGTCATTATCACTTATTGTCTCCCAGGAACATTAGCAGGAAGCTGGATAGGGAGTGTGGAGTATCAGGACTCAAGTCGTGTACTCCTTGGATGTAGGTGTCCTGGGCAGTGACTTAACCTGCTGCATCACATTGCTCACCCCAAAAACAAGTTTCTGTTCCAGGCAAGCTGAATGAGTCTGTAGTGACGGCAGAACTTCCAGATGAATTCAGAGTTGCAGGTGCCATAAAACCCTATGTTTAGGCACCAAAGCAAGGAGTTGGCCTGTGTGGGCTCCCATCCCACTCCACCTCGTAACTGTGGGACCTGACAAGTCCACTTGCCTGAGCATGTTTGCTTATCTGTAAAATGGGACTGTAAAGTGGTACCTCCTCTCTTAGTTGGTTTGGAGTATGCAGGATGATCCATGAGAAGTGCTTTTGGGAACAGGACCTGGGCATTCTGAATGCTTGATAAATGTAGGTGTCTGGGATGATGTGCCTCATGGCGTAATGATAGCCCTATGGTAATGAAACCCCATCAGGAGGCAACATCCCTCTGTATGTGGGTGTGTGGGTGTAAGCTGTTGGCGAAGACAGGAATTAACTCACGACTTCCTTTCTTCCCGACACTACCATCATGGCCATCACCAGTCCAGGGGTTGTGGAAAACCCCAGTAAACCCAGAGAAAGGCAGACAGACCTGACTCCGTGAATTGGCAACTGAGGGATGCTGCTGTTCAACCAGGAAAACAGTCTTTGGCAGCAAGATCGCAGAAAACCCGCGCTAGGCGAGTGACTGGGAAGTTCCCACTGGGCCAGGGATGCTCTGTCCTGAGAAGGTAGGGCCTCCTTCTGTGGGAAAGCATGAACAGGACCAACCATTCTCTGCAGAGTGATCTTTAAGAACATTTCGTCCTTTCTGGCGGTGACGACCTCCCCACGTGAACATCCTCACCAAGGATCTCCTGCAACCCTCTCCGGAGGAGAAGAGGAAACACAAGAAGAAACGCCTGGTGCAGAGCCCCAATTCCTACTTCATGGACATGAAGTGCCCAGGATGCTACAAAATCACCACGGTTTTTAGCCACGCACAGACGGTCGTTTTATGTGTCGGCTGCTCCACTGTCCTCTGCCAGCCCACAGGAGGCAAAGCGAGGCTTACAGAAGGATGTTCCTTCCAGAGGAAGCAGCACTAAGGGCACCCTGAATCAAGATGGATGGGAGACCCTCCCAATAAACACCTTTTGGATACAAAAAAAAAAAAAAGAACTCTTCATACAGGACCCAGAGTGATAGCCTAATGGTTAAAGTCCTTACCTTCAATGTGCAGGCATCCCGGTTTTAATCCTGGGGCCCCGCTTTCCATCCAACTCCCTGTTTGTGGCCTGGGAAAGCAGTTGAGGATGGTCCAAAGCATTGGGACCCTGTGTCCACGTGGGAGACCAGGAAGAGCTCCTGGCTCCTGGCTTCAGATTGGCTCAGCTCTGGCCATTGCGGCTGCTTGGGAAGTGAACCATCGAATGGAAGATCTTCTCTGTCTCTCCTCCTCTCTGTATATCTGCCTTTCCAATAAAAATAATTAAATCTTAAACAAACAAAAAATTCTTCATGCAACAAGGTCAAGCTGACACCTGCAGTGCTAGCATCTCAAAGGATCAGAAGTTCAAGTCCCAACTCCTCCACTTTTGGTCCAGCTCCCAGCAAATGTCTCTGGAAAAGTAGGGAAAGATGTCCCCAAGTGATTGGGTTCCTACCACCCACGTGGGATGCTCTGAAGCTTCTGGAGTGTCTAATCCTGTCTCAGTTGTTCCCCATTTGGGAAGTGAACCAGCCGATGGAAGAACTCTTCCCACTGTTTCAAATATTTTTTAAAGAACACTATAAAAAAGGAACAATAAATTTGTCTTAAGCAGTGGGAGGCTTTGGGAAGGGCAGACTCTCCAGGTGGCGCCCAAGGCAGTTCACCGCAAGAGTGGGCCAGGATCCCCGACTTTATGCAGGGAATCAAGGGGAGCTGGGCTCCAGGAAGTGGGCAGCTGGGAAATGAGTAGTCAGAGTAGCCAAGGGAACCACAAGAGGAGGGAAGGACACAGAGGGGAACCGCCAAACCCATGGCTTCCTCCTCCATGTTGGCAGCGACAGGGGCTTCCCACGGGCTAGCAAAGGCCTCTACCCCGCAGCACACACCCAATACCCCAGTCGCGAGCAACGGGTACAGCCACACAGCCCTGAAATATCAATTATGTCCGAGATGGCTGGCACTTGGCCGTTTACTGTTCCTGTGCCTCCCCCCCCCCGCCCCACCCAGCGCCTCCACAAGTGCGTTGGGGCCTGGGGTTGTAGGAAGGAATGCGGGAAGGGAAGCAGCTGCCCCAGAACCCGGGACACTCGGGGTCAGATATGGCTGCAACCTCTCAGACTTTGAGATGCATTTCTGGGACGCACGAGGTGTGTACACCTGGGAGATCCTGTGTGGAGCAGCCTCCGCGCGACCCCGGCGGCTATGGTCGGGACGCCTCCGGAGCCCCTGCTACACACACATCCCAGCCCCGCCAGGGGCCAGGATGCCGCGGGGCGGACCCAGGAGGAAGTCGAGCCGTGATGGGCCGGCCGAGGCTCACCGGGCCTGGGCGGGGCCGCCGGTGCTCGAGTTAATGTCCGCCCCGCCCCGGCCGAGCTGACTCAGTTTCACCAGAAACTGCGGAGAGGAGGTGGCCGATCGACTGGGCACCCGGCACCGGGGCGGAAGCGGCGGCGGGAGCCGCGCTGGAAGCCGGGACCGGAACCCCAGCAGATCCGGCTCCACCCCACTCACCTGCGCAGGTAACCGGGGCCCCGGAGCGCGAGACGGAGGCAGGGAGGGTTCAGAACATGGTGGCGCCTTTGTTCCGCGCCCCTGCGTGTGTCCGGGTACGTGCGCTCCTGCGCGACTCACCTGCCGGAGTCTGTGAACGGCCGGATCTCGGGGCTGTATATGAGAGGGGCCGGCCCGATCCGCGCCCCCCATCCCACTTCCTCCGGCTTGTCCCGCCTCCTTCGGAGTCTCCCGGGCTGATCAGGTGTGTCTCCTCCTCCGTCCCCTCCCTCTTCCAGGTCACTAGAAGCCTTGGAACCCAGCAGCCCGCAGGGAGAAGGTGACCCCCCGTGGGAAGGAGGGCGACGGCCCCGGGGAGAACGATGGCTCGCGCCCCCCGCGCCCCGATCGGAATCTCGGCCGGCGTCGTCGTGTGGCTCCTGTGTGCGCTCGGCTTCCAAGGCATCGAGGCTGGGCCTTCAGCCGCGCCGCCTGGAGGAGCCACCTGCCGGGAACGCTTTACCGCCAGGGTGCCTGACTTTGTGCTGGACATCAACGCCTCGGTCAGCCACGGGGCCACCTCCTGGGGCTCCCGTACGGTGACTCACAGCTGGGACTGCGTACTTGCCTGCTGCGAAACCCAGAACTGCAACCTGGCGCTGGTGGAGTTGCAGCCCGGCGGCGGGGCGGACGCCGTGGCCGCCTGCTTCCTCATGGACTGCCTCTACGAACATAACTTCGTGTGCAAGTTCGCTCCCAAAGAGGGCTTCGTCAACTACCTCTCGCAGGAGGTGTACAGCTCCTACCGCGACACACGCTTGCAGGGCTTGGGTGGTAAGGAGGAAGAGCCGGAGGCGCAGAGGGCGGCAGGGTTGGGTTGTGGAGTTCACGGCCGGCGAACGTCGAGAAGGAGTTAGGGAGGAGAGTCCAGCCTCTTCCTAACCGTAGGTAGCATGAGTGGCAAACAAAGAGACCGGGGCCGTCCCAGAGCTGGAACTTCTTGATGAGGGTCTGGGGCGCACAGGGAGACCTTCTGCTATGGATGTCCTGGGGAGATGGATCAGCTCCTCTGGAAGCCTGGCCGGTGGCCCTATAGGTTGGGACTGGGACCCAGGCCTCTGTAGGTAGCCTTGCACCTCCCAGGGCATCACAACTGAGTGCTATCCTGTGCACCAGGAGGCTGCGTCCCCTCTACCGGGGTGGATGCGGGAACTGTTCTCATCCCTCTGCTTCCTGGGAGCCAACAGGCCTTTCCAGGGAGAGAACTGCTAGACCCTGGAATGAAGGAGCATACCTAGTCTGGGGCTGACCTCAATAGAGAGGCCAGCTGGTGGGCACAGTAGCCTAGGGATTCCTGGCTTGGAAGTAAAGGTTTGCCGGGTGAGTCAGCTGGCTGGCATGTATCCCTGCTAGGGGAGGGCCATCAGCTGTGCAGGCAGGTGTGTGTGTGTGGCACACGTGATCCAGGCAGGGCTCTCCCTGCCTAGGATTTGGCAGCCAGGACAGCTGCTTGTCTTGTTTGCTTCCTGGAAGGAGGGCACACTGAAGGCCCAGGACTCTCCCCCAGCCTGCCCAAGCTCCTCTCCCATTTGGCACTGGTCAGATGGAGCACCAAGGCATCTTGTTGATTGCCTTGGGCCTCGTGTCACCCCGGAAAGGGTGCTGTTGGCCATCCCCAATGTTTTAGGTAAATCATTTGCCCAGGATGGCAGTGTAGTACATGGTTAAAGTTGGTCTTCACCCTAGATGACCACAAACCCTGCACTTTGCTGGTGATACCCTGACCTTCTGACCCCTGACAGCCCAGCAGATAACACAGTTCAGATGCCCGGGCCAGGTGGAGTCCACCTGCAGGTTGTCTTGGTTTACACAGTGGAGGACCGGCTGTCTTCCCAAGCAAGCCAGTGTCTCTCTCATTGAGGGCCCTCTTCTCTCCCTATCCTTCAGCAGCTCTCCCGGATCCCCGGGGGATGGGGAGCTGGAGCTAGCAGGGCCACCACCTGCTGGAGCAGGGCTAGAGCCTGTTCCACAAGGAAACAACAGCGAGTGTACGTAGGTGGTGTTGACTCTGCTGTGAGCTGCCCGTGTGCTTCCCGCTCCCACAGAGGCCTGAGGGAGCCTCACTCCTGACCAGAACTGGGGAGTCAGCTCTGGGGGCTCCTCTATCTGGAAATCCCCAGGACTGGCCTCCAATGCACGAGGTAGGGTGGAGTGGGGATTTCCAGGGAGGCGTGGAGGAGTTAGGAGGGTTTGGGGCTGAATGTGGGCTCCAAGCCGTTCCACACCTTCTCAGGCACCTGGAGGGAAGCTGTATGTGCGTCCAGGGGTCTGCTCTCACCCAAGCCCTGCCTGAGAGGTTAGAGTGGGTGACAGCAGAGCTGTGAGGGTGGCTGCTAAATGCAAGGGTAGACGAAGGCAACAAGGTGGACTGGGCACACAGCTTCTAAACCTCTAATTCTCTTTTCAAATTTTCAGTGAGGTATTCATTTGAGAAACGGAGAGGGAACATGTGCTGCCATCTGTGGGTTCCCTCCCGGCATGCCCAGAGTTGCTACGGCCAGACCAAGCCATGGACTCAGTACGGTTCTCCCGTGTGGGCTGGTGGCTCCAGCCAGGAACAGAGTGGGTACTCAAACCCAGGAACTCCAGTTTGGGTTAGGGGTATACCACTAGGGGCATAGGTCTGCCCCCTAAACCTTTGTGTTTGATAGGGAGATTCTCCTGCCATGGGGAGGGTGAGTGTGTGTGTCCTCTCCCACCCCTGCCAGTGGCCAGGCCAGGCTAGGCTGGTCCAGTTTGGACTCCTACAGCTGCAGGCCCCACCTCTTGGCTTTACCCCTCTTCCTGTGCAGGTGTGGCTTAGGAGGTGGAGTCTGTTTCCCTGGAGATGGTCTGGGGACTGGCATCTGGGCGAGGACTAGTTTTATCACCCTTCTAGCCTTTGCTCTTTTGGGGAGAAGAAGGGAAAGGTGGGGCAGCACATGTGTCCCTTGGTCCCAGGCCTGGGGCTTGCGGAGCACAGCGCTGGAAGGTCCTGTCATCACTGCACCTGTCACTGTTGCCCTGGGGGCCCTGTCTGCGGCTGTCCACATGCTGGGACACGCTCCGCCTGCTTTCCCAGTTTTACACAGCTGACTATTTTCTGTAAAACACAAGAAGAGAGGCCTCCCGGCTCACTGTGCTAGCTGGGCTCTCCCACTTGGTCCACCTGTCTCCTGGCTCTGACATGCTTGGAACCCAGCTCCCTTTCCTGGGTCTGGCAGACCTGTGCCATCTGACATGCTTCTGGGTGAAGCCTCCCTCCACATACCCTCACCCTGGGCACCCGCACCGTGGGTCCTGGGCTGTTCACCTTTGTAACCCAGCTCCTGCGAGCCCCCCTCCCCCACCACGCCTCATGGGAAAGGAATGCCTGTGACTCACCTCCTGACCGCTGTCTTCTGCTGCTTCCTCTGCACTGCTCTTACACTTGACCCGATCTCTGTGGCAGACAGCTCGGCCGAGTCTGAAAGCTGCGGGCGACCCTGGCAGGCTTCCACTGGCAGGAGTATGTCCTGCGGCCCAGCTGACAGGTGTATGAAACAACAAGGGGGCCAGCTCTTAGCTGTAGTACTGTTTAGATCCTGAGACTTCTCAAGGATCTCGGCGTCTATCAGCACAGCCTTGGATACTGGGTTAGTAATAATAAACCCTAAGGCAGCATGGAGGGTGGACAGGCTGGTTGGGGCTGGTTACACAAATGATACAAATTGAGGTACAAATTATGTAACCGACTATACAAGGAAACTTTTAAAAATACTTATTTTTTAAATTTATTTATTTAAAAGGCAGTTACAGAGAGAGGGAGAGATCTCATCTGCTGATTCACTCCACAGATTACCACAAAGGCGAGGGGCTGGTCAGGTCTAAGCCAGGAACCTGGAACTCTATCCAGGTCTCCCATAAAAGTAGCAAGGGCCACCCTCACTGCCTTCCCAGGCGCATTAGCCAGGAAGCTGGATTGGAAGTGAGGCAACTGGAGTTTTACTGAGTTTTACTTACTTCATTTGAAAGGTGGAGGAACAGAGAAAGAGAAATCTTCCATCATGTAGTTAACTTCCCAAATGACCACATTAATGGGGACTGGGCCAGCCCGAAACCGGGAGCCTGGAACTCCATCCAGGGCCTCCACACGGGTGGCAGGGGTGTAAGCACTTGGGCTACCATCTGCAGGGTCCCAGGTACTCACCAGCCAGAAGCTGAATTGGAAAGGATACAGGAAGCGATCGGGGCACGCTGGAAGGATTAGGGGTCCCAAGCTGCCGCTCTACTCACTGTGCACAGCCACCCCCTCAGTGTGCATGAGGCGAGAACAGGAACAAGAACTGGACCACAGTGCTGCCTGCCCCCACCCAGATCTCTGGGTTGATATGTCATCATTGGATAGTCCTGGGGACCGTGGTGACCATCGGATCGGGGCTGAGGGCACCTCCATCACCTGGGCCACTTCCCATTTCTCTGTGTGGAGAGCCATTTCCTAACTGTAGTGAAATCTTCCAGTACTTGCTGTGGACCAGGGTTGTCTCCTATAGGGAACATTTGTTACCCTTCCTCCTCTGGCCTCCACACCCTCCCAGGTCCGTGTGGTCAGCTTCTGCGTGTCCACATACGAGTAAGTACAGGTATGTAGAATGCCTCTGCGCCTGACTTACTGCACCCAGCATTGTGTCTTCCCTGCGCGCCCACTCTGGGCACATGACAGAGCCACCTTCCTTCCCAGGGGCCTTGAGGTCTGCCCCACCCAGTGAATCCCTGACCTGCCCTGGCCTCTCCTGTCTCCCACCATCCACAGCAGCCTATGTTCTTGCCCACAGCCAAACAATCACAGAGAACTGCTTCCACTCACCCCTCCTGGTTCTCTGACTGCCCTTATCTTGCCCACACAAAGCCTCAGGTCTGTAGACCCCAGGTGTAGGCCCATCTCCCTGTGTTGCTCCAGACTCTGGGTCTTATCTGCCCTGTAGGACTGTCATACCCTCAGGGTAGTGTCTCATTTTCCTGATGCTCTTATCATTAGGACAGAGTAGGTAGCTTAAGAAATGGACATTTTTTCTTATAGTTCCAGAGTCCAAAGTCCAAAATCACAGCATCCAAATCCTTCCTTGACTCTCCCAGCTTCTTTCTTTATTATCATTACTTGGAAAGCAGAAAGAGAGAGGGAGGTGGGGGGCGGGGGGAGACAGATCTCTTTCATCCCACAGTCCACTCCCCAAGTGACTGCATGAACCAGAGCCAGGAACCAGAACTCCCATGTGGGTGCTAGGGCCCTGATTACTCTGCTGCTTCCAAAATGCAGGCTCAACAAGCAGCAACAGAAGGGAAATGCCATTACACACACTGACATTCTGGGGCTTAACCCACTATGCCACAGTGTGCACCCCTCATCTTCCTGCTTTGGTGACCGCACCCGTCTCTTGACTTGGGGCTACATCTCTCCAGCCTTTGCCCCAGTCTTTACATGGCCTGTTTCTCTTCTTTCCTTCCTTCTGTTTCTTTTTTATTTAATGGATTATTTTTTGGAATTTTTATTTTAAAAGCATTATTACAGAGAGAGGGGGAGAGACAGAGATCTTTGCACTGCTGGTTCACTCCCCAAATTTCCACAACAGCCAGGCCTGGTCCAGGAGGGAGGCAGGAGCTTCTTTCAGGTCTCCCAGTTGGGAGCAGGGGCCTAAGCACTTAGGCCACCCTTCATTGCTTTGGTCTTACCTGCCCTGTAGGGTAAGGCACATAAGCAGCGAACTGGCTTAGAAATCACACAGCCAGGACTGAGACTGGCTTCCATATGGGACGCTGGCATTGCAAGCTGCAGCTTTACCTGCTGTAGCACAGCTCTGTTCCCCACGCCCCCTTTCAGCTCTCTGTTGCTATATGACTCTTGTTTAATTTAGGGCTTACCCAAAGAATCCCAGATGATGCTGTCTGGAGACCCTTTATTTGATCATTTTTGCAAAGACTCATTCCGAGTGCGATCACATTCATGGTTCTAGGGTCATATGTGGATGCAGCTTTTGGGACCATCATTCCACCTGCTACAGGCAAGAGTCAAGGGTTTTGTTTTTTAGTTTTTGGGTTTTTTTCTTAGAATTTAGATGGCCTTTATTTCAGGGAACCACAGTCATGGGCTTCCCTTCCCATGCAGCACAAAGACGTGAAGAAGTAAGCTGCAGAGGAAGAAGAGAGCAAGAATCAAGTTTGTGCTGATCTCCCTCTCCCCTAGCCTGAGTTGTTGGAATGTCGTTGTCTTGAAACTCAACAGTGGAGTCTGAGGTGGCAGAGGCCCCTCTTCCCATGGCCACTTAACCCTGAGTTGCCATGACCAGCTAGCCACTTGAAAATAGTTCCTGGGGGCACACAAAGGGACACAGCAGTTCTACTCCACTGCTTGGACCACCTACATCCCATGCTAGAATGCTTTGCTGCTAGTCCAATTTCCTGCTAATGTGACTGGAAGGCAGTGGATGTTAGCATAAATACTTGAGTTCCTGCCACCCCTGTGGAAGACCAGAATGGAATTCCTGGCTTCTAGTTGTGGTCTGGCCCAGGCTCCACTGTGAAAGGCATTTGGAGAGTGAACTGGCAGATGGAGAAATTGCTTACTTTATTTCTCTTTTTTTAAAGATTATTTATTTATTCATTTATTTATGGAAAGGCAGATTTACAGAGAGAGGGAGAAACAGAAAGGCCCTTTGTCTGCTGCCTCAACAGTCAGAGCTGAGCCAATCTGAAGCCAGGAGCCTCTTCTAGGTCTCCCAAGTAGATACAGGGTTCCAAGGCTTTGGGCCGTCTTTTGCTGCTTTCCCAGGTGGCAGTCAGGGAGCTGGGTAGGAAGTGGAGCAGTCAGGACACAAACTGGTGCTCATATGAGATCCCAGTGGTACATGCAAGGTGAAGACTTTAGCCACTAGGCTACAATGCTGGGCCTTCTCTGTCTTTTAATAAATGAAGAATCATTTTCTATCAAAGTGTCAAAGTTCAAAATCTGGTTGTTTCCAACTCCAACTTCCTGCTAACACACACCCTATTAGTAGCAGGGGATAGCTTATACATTGGGTCCCTGCCACTCACTTGGGAGGTCTGGGTGGAGTTGTTAACTGTAGAGCCTGCCGTGCCCCTGGCTGCCCCTCAACTCAGGGCCTCACCTCCCCAGCACATACACACACATAAAGAGCCATTGCATTTAGGTTGGCTCAGCTCTAGCCATTGTGGCTATCTGGAGAGTGAGCCAGCAGAAGGAGGATCTCTCTCTGTCTCTCATCTGCCTTTCAGATAAAAAAATAAAGCTTAAAAAAAAAAAAAAAGAGCCATTGCAGCCATCTGGGGAGTAAACCAGTGGATACATCTCTATCTACTTCTCTTCCTCTCAGTTGTTTTGAAAGGTTTATTTGTTTTTATTTTATTGGAAAGACAAACTATTACAGAGAGAGGAAGAGATGGAAAGATCTGCCATCCTCTGCTTCACTCCCCAAGCAGCCACAGCAGCCAGAGCTGAGTTGATCAGGAGCATCCTCTGGGTCTGCCACACAGGTGCAGGATCCCAAGGCTTTGGGCCAACCTCTGCTGCCCTCCCAGGCCACAAGCACAGGGACCTGGGTGGGAAGTAGAATAGTCAGAATATGAACTGGTGCTCATATGGGATCCCCGTGCTTGTAAGGGAAAGATCTAGATACTAGTCATCACACCGGGTTTCCTTCCTCTCAAATTTTGAAAAATTTAAAAAATTCTGAGACTGGCGTTGTATTAGGTAAAACCATTGCCTGCAATCCTATTATCCTATGAGGTACCAGTTCAAGTCCCAGCTGTTCTACTTCCCTACTTCCAGTCCAGTCCCCTGCTAATGACCAAGGAAAGCAAAGATGACCCAAGTGCTTAGAGCCCCTGCCACCCACACGGGAGACCCAGAAGAACCTCCTGGTTTTGGCCTGGCCCAGCTCTGACCCTCATGCCATCTAGGGAGTGAGTCAATGGGTAGAAGACCTCTCTCTCTGTAACTGTGCCTTTCAGGTAAGTAAATAAATCTTTAAAAAAGAAAGATAGCTTTACCTTTTAAACATGTAAAAATTGCTGCCTTAATGTTTAAAAAGCAATTAGTACAATTAACTGTTTTTTATAGAATATAGGATCAAGTGCCCTTCCCCAAGCCTATATGTGGGAGAGCCAATGACACATGCTATTTGATAATTTACTTCAGAAAGTAGACTTGGGTAGTGTACAAGCACTTGTCTGTACTAAAGACGTGAAGTCTAGAAATGGAGAGCAAGAGGGCTTGGTGTGAGCTCCTGCCTGCACCCCATGCAGAGTCCTAGGTCAACCAAGGTCAGGCTGGTACTCCCTTGCTTTCCCTGCCAGAGGAAACCTGGTCTGTTGAGTTTGAATTGATTTTTCATCCAGAAGCCTGGATCCCCAAGACATGGGCTGGTACTGACTTGAAGGTACAACTCCAGGAGCCGGTAGTACTGAAGGATGTGGATGGTTCAGACTGGCACCTGCTGCAGGGTGACTCGGATGTAACGGTCAAGGTGAGACTCTGGGCTACCACGCCCACCCCAGCACCCCCAGGGATCCCTGCCTGAGGCTCTGGATGCTCCATGCCGCATCCCTGTGTCTTCCTCAGGATGTGGGGAAGGGTCGGCCCAGTGGCCACCGGGGCCTGGGGCAGCCCAAGCCTGATGGCCACTCATGTGTATAGAAAAATGGTCTGGACGAGGTGGAGCTATGGGGACTCAAGGAAGGCACGTACCTGTTCCAGCTGACTATGACTGGCTCAGACCAGTCAGAGAACACAGCCAACATCACGGTCACCGTGCTAACAGCCAAACAGACTGAAGGTGAGGGAGGCCGGGGAGGCAATGCCTGGGGCCGCTCACTCTGCTGGCTGCCCACTGCGGGTGCCCCTCACAAGCTCTCCTACCCCCAGACTATTGCCTTGCATCCAGCAAGGTGGGCCGCTGCCGGGGCGCCTTTCCCCGTTGGTATTACGACCCCACAGAGCAGATCTGCAAGAGCTTCATTTATGGAGGCTGCGCAGGCAACAAGAACAACTACCTGCGGGAGAGAGAGTGCATGTTGGCCTGCCGGGGTGTACAAGGTGGGCCTGCGTCGGGGCGCTCCAAGTGGCTTTCCTCCAGGGAGGGAGTGGGGGTCCCCTTTCTCAGCCATCTCACTCACATTTCTGCTGGAGCCCCCTGTGATTTCTTTGTTCTCTCTCTCTCCTAGGCCCTGTGATAGAAAGGCACCATCCAGGTGGGCTTTGCTTCTCTCCTTCTCACCCTCACCCCCTCCAGGTCCCCAGCCCACCTTTGCCCAAACCATTTCTCCCATCACGGCATGTGAAAGGATGGCAGACACAGCAACCCCTGCCAACCCAACATCCTCCTGCTGCCTGGGTTGGTGCCCCATTTCCCAGTAGGAGGCACCAGGGTCAGTGGGAAGAGAAGACAGGGCATGTCACAAGGCCCAGGCAGGGTAGGTAGATGAAGGACCCCTGGCACTTGCTCTGTGCTGACCCATCCCCACCCCTGCCCCCGCCCCCATCCAGACTGCTCTGGCACCTGTCGCCCCAATCAGTTCCACTGCAGTAACGGCTGCTGCATCGACAGCTTCCTGGAGTGCGATGACACTCCTGACTGCCCGGACGCCTCTGATGAAGCCACCTGTGAAAAATGTGAGTCCTGGGGGAGGGGCCGTGGGGAGAGGGAACCCTGGGAGACCTGTGACGGCCCTGAGCATGTGACCTTTCACCTCTGCAGATACCAGTGGCTTCGATGAGCTCCAGAGAATTCAATTCACCGGTGACAAAGGTGTGAGCCTCCCCAAATGGCCTGGGTCGGGGCATATGCTGCACTGCTATCCCCCCTTTTCTGTGCAGCACTGCCCCTCCCTCAGGGGCTTTGTGTGCCAGGATGTGGGCGCTGCTCAGCCCCTGGCCCAGCCCTCTTTTGTGGCCCTGGTTTCCTCCGTATCACTTATTCTCTGAACAACTTTGTCACTTGAGCCATGCCCCCCACCTGTCACTCAAATGTGATGTATTTAGCCAAATACCTTCTTACCCTTAGTATGTTGACAAGGGCATCTCACACAGTGGAAAACCACTGGTGACACCCAAGTTCAGATTAGGCCCAGCTAAGGCCCAGCTCAGCGCTGGACAGTCAGGCCACCAGATGCAAGGGAACAGGTTTACTGAAGAGGGCAAAGTCCCAATAGTGCTTTAGTGCTTTCCCCTAATTTCCAAGTTAACAGGAGGAAATTTTTTTCTTTTACTTGAAAGCCAAAAAAATTGGAAGAGACAAAGAGATCTTCCATCCACTAGCTTATTCTCCAAATGGCTACAGTGTCCAGAACTGAACTAACCTAGAGCCAGGAGCTTCTTCTGGGTCTCCCATGTAGGTCCAGAGGCCCAGGGACTTGAGCCATCCTCTGCTGCTTTCCCAGGCCATAAGCAGGGAGCTGGATGGGGAGTAGAGCAGCCAGAACTAGAAACGGTACTCATACAGGATGCTGGCATTATAGATGAAGGCTTAGCATGCTATTCCACTGCGCAAGTCCCAGCTGGAGGACTTTTAAGAGGAGAAAAAGGAGGATGGAATGGAGTGAGGGAGGAAGATTGGGACCAAGGGGAACAGAGGGCAGGCCAGCTGCATGGGGACCTCCAGCCAGGGGAGAAGGAGCTGGTCGGAGGCCCAGCAGTGTCCCTCCTCCCACAGTTGGCCTGCTGACCACATTGGACCAGGTGATGCTGTACCTTGTTAAGTAAGCGTTATTTACCTATCTCTGAACAGAGGCTGTAAGCAGTCACACGATCAGCAGTTAGCTTTATCACAGTGTAACAAGGAAAGGGAAATAGAGTCATCAGATCACACTGTTACTCCACATAAATGGACAATAACAACAAAAATAAGCATAATGCAGCAATAAAGACGGTTCTGCCTGGGTACTGCTCCCTGCCAAGACTCAGACTCTGAGGCCAATTCTCTGTTCAAAATATAAACCAGTGCAGGTGTTTGGCACCGGTGTTAAATCACACCTGGAATGCCTGCCCCCTGTACTGAGTGCCTAACTCTATCTTGTCTGACCCCTCTGCTTCAGATCCTGCCGAAATTCTGGGAGGTAGCAGGTAGGGCTAAATTATCTGAGTCCCCGCACTCCGAGGGGAGACCCAAATGGAGCTTCGAGTCTCTAGCCTCAGCTAGACCCTTTGGCGGGACAGGAGATGAACCAGTGGATAGAAGTAAAGGAATATGGAGGTGATATAAGCCCATGCCAGACATTTGGGGGGCAGTTAAGGCACTGTTTGTGACCACTGTATCAGAGTAACTGGATTCAAGTCCCAACTGTGTTTCCAACTCCAGTTTTCTGCTGATGTGCACCGTAGGAGCAGCGAGGAAGATGGCTCAAGGACTTGGGCCCTGCTACCCCTGTGGGAACCGTCCAATTCATGGCTCCTGGCTTTGGCTATTGTGGGCATGTGGAGAGTGAACTAGCAGATAGGAGATCTGACTCTGTGCCTTTGAATAAATAATAAAAGAAAAAAAATGTAAATAGTGACAGGTTATTTTAAAAATTTATTTGAGGGCCCTGTGCGGTGGCTCAGTGGTTAAGGTCCTCACCTTGCATGCCTGGATCCCATATGGGCGCCGGTTCTTTCCCAGCAGCCCCGCTTCCCTTCCAGCTCCCTGCCTGTGGCCTGGGAAAGCAGTCGAAGACGGCCCAAAGCTTTGGGAACCTGCACCCGCGTGGGAGACCCGGAAGAGGCTCCTGGCTTCGGATCGGCATAGTATCGGCCATTGCGGTCACTTGGGGAGTGAATCATTGGACAGAAGATCTTCCTCTCTGTCTCTCCTCTCTGTATATCCACCTTTCCAATAAGAAAATAATAAAAATAAATCTTTTAAAAAAAATTTATTTGAAAGGCAGATTTACATAGAGGAGAAATAGAGAAGGTCTTCCATCCCTTGGTTCACTCCCCAAATGGTCACAATGGTCAGAGCTGAGCCAATCTGAAGCCAGGAGCCAGAAGCCTCCTGCATGGGTGTAGGGTCCCAGTGATTTGAGCCATCCTCTGCTGCTTTCCCAGAGCATAAGCAGAGAACTGGAGCAGAAGTAGAACAGCTGGGATACCAGCCAGTATCCGTGTGGGATACTGGTACCACAAGGTGGAGGATTAGCCTGTTGAGCCAGGGTACTACCTTTCCCCCACAAAATTTTTTTTGTAATGTGAAATTGCTAGTCACCCAAGTGTCATGGGGACCTTGGCACCATCAGAAAATAGGAAGATGCTTGTTAAGCAAATGCATATGTGGGACCAGGGAATTTCACATTACTAAGCTCCTCAGCCTGGATTTGTCTTCATGGCTTAGAGTAATGCTGGCTGTGAGCCAGCTGCTGCAGAGGGGTGACAGGAAGAGGGGAGGGTTCCTAGGCCACAGCTGCCTCAGCTCACAGGCCCCCTGCATACTCCCCATGCCCCAGGGCACTGCGTAGAACAGCCAGACACAGGACTGTGCCACGAGAGCATCCCACGCTGGTACTACAACCCCTTCACCGAGCATTGCGCCCGCTTCACCTACGGCGGCTGCCACGGCAACAAGAATAACTTTGAGGATGAGCAGCAATGCCTTGAGTCTTGTCGCGGCATTTCTAGTGAGTGGGATCCGGGCGGAGGTGTGAAGAGCTAAGGCTTTGTCCCAAGGTCCAGGCGTTTGGGAATGGGAGTGGGAGTGGGCACCAGGGAAGGGTCCTGGGTGCTGAGTGCTGTCCCCCCCCCCCCCCCCCCGCCCCCCGCTTGGCAGAGAAGGACGTGTTTGGACTGCGGCGGGAAAGTTCTGTTTCCACTGCAGGTAAGGCCGCTCAGGGGATTGCTTGCGTGTGGTTGCTTATGGCTGCCTCAGCCTAGGTACAGAAAGATCCTGAGATTCCCTGCAGGGACTGGGTGTCACCATCAAATAGAGGGGTCTGCTGTGGGTGAGGGAGGCAGGGACAGCCCGATCACTCCTGGACCTACAAGCGGCCCGCACGTGGAGCCTCAGGGACCCCTCTCCCAGCTCTGCCATGCCACCGCTCAGCAGCCCTGGGCTGCGGAGTTGGGTGCCCTTCGCCAGAGCAGAGCCAGGCATGTCCTGAGAGCCCCACTTCCCCTCAGGCTCTGTGGAGGTGGCCATTGCTGTGCTCCTGGTCATCTGCATCGTGGCGGTAGCAGGCGTCTTGGGCTACTTCTTCCTCAAGAACCAGAAGAAGGGCTTCAGCAGGCGGCGCCACCACCCGCCACCCACGCCCGCCAGCTCCACTGTCTCCACCACCGAGGACACCGAGCACCTGGTCTACAACCACACCACCCGCCCCCTGTAAGCCCAGGGCGTGCTCACCAGCTCTCACGAGGCCTTTCATCCTGCCTGCCCAGATGGGAGCCTGGGTCAGGGACAGTTTAGGGAGCAGGCCCATCCTGCCTGTGTCCCAGGCCCACTCTGTCTCCGAGACCAGGGCTGTGGCCCCTGTTGGGGGAGCCCCTGCTGAACTGGAGCCTGCTGTTCCCAGGAAAGCTCAAGAGAGAAGAAAACCAGGAGAAGCAGTAAGCTTGCCTGCCAACTGCCTGAGACTTCAGAGCCAGTTGGAATCGTGTTCCCTGTGCTGCCCTGAGCACAGGGAAGGGGCCTGGAATGGTTATCATTAGCCAAAGGACCCGGCCTGTCCTCCACGGCCACTCTGCTCCCACTCCACCCGACCTGGGCCAGGAGCAAGGCTGCAGGCCCTGTACAGAGTTGCTTTGTGTTTATTTAATTCCCCCTGGGCTGGATGCAGAGGAACGAGGCCCCTGGTCTTCTCTCTGCCTTCTGGACCGGCCTGGCCTGACCAAGCCACGGGGCTCACCACTCACCCCCTCTCAACTGCCCACCTGTCAATAAAATTTTTGTGGAGTTTCTACCTGTGTTGTGTACTCCAGGAGAGGGACAGGTTGCTGGGAGTTGGGGGGAGATGGGGCCGCCCTGTCTGACTGGTTTAGGCTTTGGCCACCCTGTTGAACAGGTTTTCCCACCTCTGCCGAAACTGCTGGGGCCCGGAGGGTGGAGGGAGCTGCCAGGTTTGACCACCAGAGGGGAGGGCTGGGGGGGGAGGCTGTATCCCTTCCTGTTCAGGAACCAGACACTGCAGGTGTAAATGGGTGGTTGGGGCGGGGTACACACACCAGCCCCAGCCCTTCCCCCACCGGGCCCGATGCAGGTCACTGGCCATTTCCCTGGGCTGCTCAGCAGGAATGTCGCCCTCCCCTGGTTCTGACCTCTCAAACTCGACTGCAAAATGCACCCTGCATGACTTCAAGCCAACTCCAGGTGTCAAAAACAACCCTGCTAATTTGTTCCTTCCACAAACTACTGTGCCCAGCACTGCTGATCACTAAGAATTTGGTGTAGTGGAGCCAACACAGTAGCTAATCCTGTGCCCTGTGGGCTCTACTTCCCAACCGGCTCCCTGCTTGTGACCTGGGAAAGCAGTCGAGGACGGCCCAAAGCCTTGGGACCCTACACCCATATGGGAGACCCGGAAGAAGCCCCTGGCTTCTGGCTCTTGGCTTCTGTTTGACTCAGCTCTGGCTGCTGCAGTCATCTGGGGAGTGGACCAGAAGATGGGAGACCGCTCTCTTTCCCTCCATCTCTCCTCTCTATAAAATCTGCCTTTCAAACAAAAAAACAATGGGGTGTACTGAAAGTGAATTGATCAATATTGATTGATTGATTGATTTGAAAGTTACAGATAGAGAAGCATAAATCCTCTATTCACTGGTTCAACCTGGAACTAGCAGCCCAGAGCTCCTTCGGGATTTCCCAGGTGGGCAGCAGAGGCCATGGTACTTGGTCAGCTGCTGCTTTCGCAGACACTGGAGCAGGGAGTTTTGCATGAAGGGGGCAGCCAGGATTCCAACGGGCACTACTCATACGGAACACTGGTTTTACATACTGTAGCTTCACCCCCTGCGCCACAGCACCAGTTCCTCTGGGAGCTGCTTTGAAGCCGCAGAGACACAACCAGTGTGAATGCACAGAAAAGAAGTCCTAAGTGGGCAGTTTCTTGAGTCCCATCTCTGCACACTCCTCCAAGGCAAGCACCCTGGTCAGGGAGCCACCTTCACCTGGGTAGCACTTTTATGTCTTGCATCTGTTGTGCTCCTTGTCCTGGGGCTCCTCCTGTTTTCTCAACCCAACCTCACTGCCGTGCTGGAGGCCCCTCCCCAGGGGACGGGCACTCCCAGGACCTCTAGCACTGAACACCCCTGTGTCTGTCTGCCCGGGGTACCGGGAGTTCCCAGGGCAGCAGGTGATATCTTAGTCACCCTTGGTCCCAGCACACCCTCTGTGACCTCGGTCAGCAGTAGTTAACAAATGTGGAGTAGATGGCAGGGGTGGGGCTCATTCCCTTTGTTCCATTTCACAGAGCTCCGTGTTTGCCCATCTGAATCCTTCCCTGTGTCGCCTGTCGCTCGTTCACCCTTTGAGACTCAAAACACACACCACTCTTCCACTACTCTATGAAATGGTTTTCTGGACTGGCTGAGGGGTAGGGGTGATATTTGACTCAACTCTGTTCCAGAGCCTAGGATGGCAACCAGCATTAACACGTGTTTGTTGGTGTGAAGTGAGCACCTTTGCAGTAGGGGAGTCGTGGGGCGGGGCGGGGGGTGGGGTGTCTTACAGATCAAGCAAGAAAACGCTAGGCTGGGGCCAACCCTGGTGACAGCCGCGGGTTGCGGGCTCTAGCAGCAGGAGCAGGATCTGGCTGCTGCCGCTAGGGGGTGTCCTCACCCCTACAGGATGCGATGCTCTTTTGTCTGCCCAGCTTTAGTTCTGCCAGGTACACATTCAGGTAGGTGGCAGGAGTGGAGCAGTGATCGCTGAAATACAGCTTATGCTTTTCCCAGGCTGACACTCTGGCATGCAGGCAGCATACACAGAAGCACTGGAACCGTGCACGGGCAGTTGCCTCTACTTCAAACATCCCCTTGTCCCTGGAAAGCTCCCACATGATCCAGCTCCCCTGGCTCTCCAGGCCACGTGTACTTCTGCTCTCTACAGTCACACCAGGCAGTGCGCAGTTCACCAGGTTACATATGTCTGCCCTTAGCCACAGGTGGGAGTCAGGTCTTGCCCAGATTGTGGACACTGGGTGTTTAGGGAAGGGCTGTTGGTACGAGGCACAGGCTGATCAGACTGTGGGAATTAAGAAGATAGAATAATAGGTTCATGGAGGAACAAGAGTCTTGAAGGGATGTTTGTAAACCCAGCCTTGTTCACAGCAGCTAAAATGTGGAAGGGACTTGTATGTCCACTGATGGATCAGTAGGTCGACAAAATGGAATACTTAGAGTGGAATGTGATTCAGCCTTAAAGAGGAAAGAATTCTGAAGTGGTGTAGCAAACTGATCTTCTGCCTCCAGTGCTGTCATTCCATACGGTCACTGGTTCATGTCTCAGCTACTCCATTTCCCACCCAGCTCCCTGCTTGTGGCCTGGGAAAGCAGCAGAGGATGGCCCAAAGCCTTGGGACCCTGTACCCAGAAAAGACTCCTGGCTTCTGGCTTCAGATCAGCACAGCTCCAGCCACTGCAGCCATCTGGGAAATGAGACAGCAGATGGATGATCTCTCTGTCTCTGTATAACTCTTTCAAGTAGAATAAATAAATCTTAAAAAAAAGGAATGTAGAAATTCTGTCATGCTGCCACATGGATGAATCTTGGGAACATTGCGTCAAGTGAAATAAACTCATTACCCATGAAGACAAACCCTGGGTAACTTCGTTCACAGGAAGTACTCAGAGCAATGAGCAACCACGGAGGCTGGGGCACTGGTTCAGCTGAAAAGTGGAGACAATGTGGAAAAATTCTGCATCTTACCATGAGAGTCCTCGGGTTCCATTCTAGGTTGCAGCTCTCAATTCCAGACTCTGCAAGGAGGTGGCAATGGCTGCGGGAGCTGCCCTCCTGCCACCAGCTCAGGAGACCTGCATTGAATCCCTGGCTTCTGGCTTCTTACAGGAATTGGAGAGTGAGCCAGCCCGTGGGAGCTTGCTCACTTTCTAACTCTGCAAGTAAATAAAATACATCTTAAAAAAAAAAATAGAAGGACCAGGTCAGCAGGGTGTGTCACCAGATGTCACAGCCCAGGAAGAGGGACCAGGGAAGGAGGCAAGCCCGAGGCAAGGCGAGGCTCCCATGTGAAGTACAGGCAGCTGGGCAGTAAAGCCTGGGTGGGTACCAGACAGCACCCTGGCAGCCTAAAGTCACACTGTTACCCAAACGGATTGGATTTAGTTAATGGCCATCATTTAAAGAGTCAAGTACTGCATTTTTTTTAAAAATCATATTTTAGTTCCTTTTTTTAAAGATTTATATTTGTTCTTTTATTACAAAGTCAGAAACACAGAGAGGAGAAGAGACAGAGAGGAAGATCTTCCATCCAATGATTCACTCCCCAAGTAAGCGCAATGGCCGGTGCTATGCTGATCCAAAGCCAGGATCCAGGAACCTTTTCCGGGTTTCCCCCACAGGTACAGGGTCCCAAAGCTTCGGGCCGTCCTTGACTGCTTTCCCAGGCCACAAGCAGGAAGCTGGATGGGAAGTGGAGCTGCTGGGACTAGAACCGGCACCCATATGGGATCCAGGCGCTTTCAAGGTGAATCAACAGAAAGAAGTTTTCTCTTTCTTTCCCTCTCTTTGCCTTTTAAATAAATGAACACTAAAAACAAAACAAATAGGACCTGTCACAGTAGCCTAGCTGCTAAAGCCCTTGCCTTGCACACGCCAGGATCCCATAAAGTCACCGGTTCTAATCCCAGCAGCCTGCTTCCCATCCAGCTCCCTGCCTGTGGTCTAGAAAAGCAGCCAAGAATGGTCCAATGCCTTGGGACCCTGCACCCGCATGGGAGACCTGGAAGAGGCTCCAGGCTCCTGGCCTCAGATAGGCTCAGCTCCGGCTGTTGCAGCTGCTTGGGGAGAGAATCAATGGATGGAAGATCTTCCTCTCTGTCTTTCCTCCTCTCTGTGTATCTGACTTTCCAATAAAATCTAAAAAAAAATTTAAAAATCAACAAAACCACTTTGAAAACACACAGGGCCCACTGCAATGGCTCAATTGGCTCATCCTCCCTCTTCAAGCACCAGGATGCCATGTGCGCACCTGGCTGCTCCACTTCCCATCTAGCTCCCTTAAAACGGCCTGGTCCTGGGGCCCCGACCCTCTTATATGGAGACACAGAAGCTCCTTGCTCCTGGCAATAGCCTGGCCAACCCCTGCCTATCGTAGCCATTTGGGGAGTGAACCAACAGGTGAAAAAAGATCTCTCTCTCTCTCTCTGAAACTGTGCCTTTCAAATAGATTTTTTAAAATTTATTTAAAAAAAAATAGAAAAGGGCCCAGTGTGCTAGCATAGCGGTTAAAGTCCCCGCCTTGAACAAGTCGGAATCCCATATGGACTCCGGTTCTAATCCCAGCAGCTCCACTTCCCATCCAGCTCCCTGCTTTTTTCCTTGGGAAAAGCAGTCGAGGATGGCCCAAAGCTTTCAGATCCTGCACCCGGGTGGGTGATCCAGAAAAGGCTCCTGGCTTTGGATTGGCTCAGCTCCAGCTGTTGCAGTCACTTGCGGAGTGAACCATAGTACAGAAGATCTTCGTCTGTCTCTCCTCCTCTCTGGCTTTGCAATAAAAATAAATAAATTTTTAAAAAATAAAAAAATAAATAACCTGGATCCATAACAGGATCCTTTTTTTTTCTTCTTTTGAATCGATAGGAAGCAGAATAACCAGGACTTGAACCAGTGTCGGTATGGGATGCCATGTGTGAGAGGTAAATATTCAGCTCATTTTCCAAGTAAGATGGTTAGCTATGAATAAGCAACCAGCTGGTGTAACTGCCA